GTTTGCCTTACGTATGCAACTCATAAGATTGATTCGATTTGAAGTTCGGGCTAGATTGCCAGCAACAGGGGCATCACTGTCATCATATTTGTCACCGCTCCAGGGTATTCTGCAGTAGGTTTCGCTTAATTATCTTAACTTTTTACTCGTCCATGCTGTTTCATGATTCTACGGTGAGTTGTGATGTTCTTTTCGGTGACTTTGGTGGTTATGGTTGATGACGATGATGATCGTGGTGGTAATGATTGTTGTGGTGGTCGCGGTGTTGATGGTGGTGCTGAATTTGCTGATGACAGGGACAACCGCGACGATCATTACGACGTCTGAATCTGACATAAGATCTCAACCGAAGCTTTTGGCTTGCAGTCTCGGGTCAGACTCTGTAGCTTCCCGGTCCATTTCGAGCCAAACGCTGGCCGTGTTCAAGACACGGCCCGCCACTCGCAAGGGGACAAGATGGGCTGCTCACAGTCATCCGGGTGCATTGAGGCCTGGAAATAGAAGCTTGAGCTGTAGGACTTTAGGACTTCTTCGCAACCGCCTGTCCCGTCGCAGGCCAGTCGGCAGCACTCTTTCAAGGGTCTTGCCAAGCACGACGACATAAAGAGCGCACTTCAAGTCCGAGACAAGGTTATGGTGGAGTGCTTCTTGTCTCAGTCTGGACTAGTCGGACAGGGAGTGTGTCGGTGCTTGAGTTGCTTCAGCTTTGTCAGGTGAAGAGCCGTCATTAATGAAAGACTTTGACTCATGGAGGCATGTGATGGACGAAGACGACATGAAGGCGCTGGAGAGTGGAAAGAGCCTACCGATAAACCGCACGGCCCACCAACAGATTTCGCAGCAGACTCGGAGTGCCTTGAAGAAGTTGGTGGATGATCCGGAAGCGCTCCAGCGCCTTGTCAAGAAGCACCGGATGGCTGGAAACGACGACATTTCGGCTTTTGTAATCCACGGGGCGACGAATCTCGGCGATTCAGCGGTAGTCCTCCAATCTATGAGCTGCGCCGGTGTAGTGTCGGGAACCTGATGAACACACCTCTGTTCTATGATCCACGAAGGTTGAGCATCCCTTGGAGCCGGAATTCGGATCAGGAGTCGCTCAGTCAGGTTCCTGATTTCCAAGGAGTTGTTATACTTGTCGCAGCATAGCCCAGTCCTTGATTCCTCTTCCAAGACTCACTCATCTTCACATGAGGAAGCTGAGTGCAGCTCTAATGGCCTGCGGTCTAGAGGATCGTAGTTTCAACGAATCAGAAGCCTTGAAGTGCTGACCCTCAGCCCCTGCCGGATGATGGTTTCCAATCGGTTCAGGGCCTACTTGTAGAATACAGGAGATGCGGTAGACGAGGGTCGGGACGCGATGTCCCGGAAGAATCTAACATCGAATATTTCTTCAGAACCTGCACCAAGAGCATTTACAGGCGGCCGTCTCAAGTCATGAACCCGACAGTAAAAGCGCGAGACCGGGCAGAGACAGCCACTACCTTCTTTTGAAGAAAACCCAAGCTCCAAGCAGCGAAAACAAAGCATCCGTACTTTAACTGTAAACTCCGACGCCCTCAACCCCAAACAACAAAAACACTACCTGTGCGAAGGCCCCCCCCCCCCTCCCACCGCTCTTGTGAGATACCGCACAACTGAGGAGTCCTTCATCGGGGGAAGCCGGCGCTGCGCCTCCGTCAACTCCCGTGTCAAGGAAGCCAACGATAGTCTCCACGTAGTCCCTTTGGGTGCTTCGTCTAGGGCTTGTAAGCTTAAGGAATAAGGTTTCTTGCTGAGGCATCTTTGTTAGATCCACATAAGACCGAGAAGCACTAATCCTCTAAATCCAAGCCCCTGTAGGTATCCCCACCATCCCTGTACAGTAGACATGGAACTCTGGAATGTCTCTGCCTGAACCCGAAAGCGGAGCACGTATCTTGGGTGCGAGAAGTTCCGGTGCCACGGCCGGGACACATCCAGATACCGTGCTGTTGGCGAGATGCAGGGAGGTTTTTGGTCAAGCTCGGGCTTGAGCAGGTAGCAGTGAGTGTGGCGTCCCCTGGTCCAGCAAACATCAATTTGTACGCCTTTAGAACCACCAACAGCGCAGAGACAGCTATAAGCACCCTCTGTGAGGATTGCCCAACAAAGCTCCTACACATTGACATGTTCACCAAAATGACATCACCGCACGATCATGCGCAAGATCCTCCCACAACTCCACGCTTGGGGTCCGAGCATGAATCGTCATACTTCCTTTCACGATTCTTTCCGAATCCCCATATGTTTCGTGTGGAATCTCATGTACCCTCTATAAATGTTCTTTGGTTCATGCAGGAACCTGGTGAAGGTTCTACTTACGGGTCTTGACGTCGGTCCTCTTGTTGCGCAGATTTAGAGCCAAGTTCAAGTGTGTCTCAAGCTTCCTACTCGTACGGTCGTTGAGGTACGCCTGGAATTCACAGGTTGTCCGAAAGCCTGCGGCCTTGACCCGAAGCTTGAAACTCAAAGGTGTGAACCCTCAATGCCGAGGCAAAAATCTACAGGAACCTAAGCCAGTGTGACCGGCCGAGAGCTGTAAGGAACCTGCAGAAGAATGTTGTTGCATCCCGCAGCCTCAAGGCAGGTGCCTGAATCGCGAAGCCCCACACTGAACCCTGACGAAGAACTGCCATTGAAAGATCCATGCAGGGCCTGAAGGCCTGAAGATACACTGCTTCAAATTCTTGAATGTCTACTGTAAGATCCCTCAATCCAGGGACAATCCACTTGCTGAACAAAATCCTCAGTTCTCAACGCGAATGCGCGCTTCAAGCAGGCATTCCCCTCCGGCATTTACCGAGAGTTTGTTAGCAGTACGCCAGCTGCCAGCATGGGTTGTGGATAACACAGTATAGGAAACGTTTCAATAGGGGCAGGAACTTCGCACCAGTTAGTAGCACCAGTAGTAGTAGTAGTAGTAGCAGCAGCAGTAGTAGTAGTAGCAGTAGTAGTACCAGTAGTACTAGTAGTAGTAGTAGTAGTAGTAGTAGTAGTAGTACGAGTAGTACTAGTAGTACTAGTAGTACTAGCAGTACTAGTAGTACTAGTAGTACTAGTAGTACTAGTAGTACAAGTTACTAGTAGTACTAGTAGTAGTAGTAGTAGTAGTAGTAGTAGCAGCAGCAGCAGCAGCAGCAGCAGTAGCCGTAGCCGTAGCCGTAGCCGTAGCAGTAGCAGCAGCCGTAGCCGTAGCCGTAGCCGTAGCCGTAGCCGTAGCCGTAGCAGTAGCAGCAGCAGCAGCAGCAGCAGCAGCAGCAGCAGCAGTAGCAGTCGCAGTAGCAGTAGCAGTAGAAGTAGCA